CAATGCACATCTTTAAAACCATCCTGTAATAATTATTTCTTTCTTAATGTATCGTCGTGTTGAGAGAGACCAAGTCTTTCTTATTAAAATATGAATAATCTCATTGACCCTCCATTCCTTTTGAATAGCATTGGTTTAAAATGTCCCTAGGCAGGTTCCCGTCTAAAAAGTTTATTTAGTTTGCCTAAAATTAGCAATGAAAATTTACTGCTAATACTTTTGTGACAAGGTCTTGCTTGTACTGAACATAAAAATAGGTTCACATCAATCGATATCTTTTAGGCGCTTTGCAGACGACGGGGCGGGGCGGGCCGGTCTATTTCGCCGCGAATAATAGCACAAAGTGAATCCTTTACTTCAAACGCACACAGAGGGCAAAAAGACCGCGCCGCAGGCGCCCGGCGGGCAGTGGCGGCGCGGCATGTCCGCGGCTGCCCGCCGTGGATCATACAAACCAGTTTATATGCAGTAACGCAGACGGCGGCGCGGGGCTGTCAGCTCAGTCCGCGCCACGATTCACTAGAACGAACATCCTAAACTGACCGCCTCTGCCCGTCGTGTGCTTTGTGTACGCGGCGCGGGCAGCCGCAGACATCGACGGGCAGACGCGGTCTTTATTGCTTCGCGGACAAAATGCCCGCCCCGCCCCGTCGTCTGCTCAACGCCTTACTGTCCTATTCTTTCTGGATTTAAACAATCAGTACCCCTAGGACGAATCAATATCGAATTCGTATCGTTTGCGAGTATGAAATGTCGTTGTCAAATGTGTACTGATTTTTTATTCTCATTACGTACTTTGTGCCGCTGCTGTTCAAGTTTCCATACAAAATTTGACATTGACATTTCAGTTTGCAAACAATTCGAATTCGATAATGGTTCGTGCTAGGGGTAAAGAACTCCTTTATATTTTATGTGTTAAAATGGAAACTTTACTGATGTATGTTTTGTTAATTAGATCTAGGAATAAGTGTTATTTCATTGTTTGTTTCCCAAATAAAGATAAAATTAAAAAAAAATATAAACGTAACAACCACGGGACGTATCCACTTGGAATTTGGTGTTAGACGGATAAAAAGTAGCCGTTATGGTAAAATAGGTAATAAACTATCTGTGACCCAAGTTTCCACCGAATTCATTCAGCTCTTATTGGTTTTTTTGTTATTCGCACATGTATCATTTCTCTCTGGACACTATTCCAAAGTTAACGCCAGAAAAGTCGAGACCAGAAGGTAGAATTAATACAATAATTCTTACTAACTAACTTCGTACCGCCATAAAAAAATAGGGGTTGGTGGTAGAAGGATGAAAATTTAGGGTTGTATGTGTTTTTGTATGGCGTATCTTAAAAAATTTAAAAAATAATTGTCAATAAAAAAATTTAAGTGTGGATCACCCTTAACATTTAGGGGGATGAAAAATAGATGTTGTCCGATTCTCAGACCTACTGAATATGTGTATAAAATTTCACGAAAATCGGTCGAGCCGTTTCGGAGTAGTTCAATTACGCACACCATGACACGAGAATTTAAACAATTATTTTATATGTTAGATTATTATGTTTAAAAAACATTTTATCTTTAATTGACTTTAAAAATTGGAAAAATGTAACGATGTCTTGAAAATCGTTTAAGCCTTAACTGAATTGGGATATGTTTTTTGTAAGTGGTATTATGTAAAATAAAATCTTTCTTATGAAGAAATGTCAGTTTATAGCATATATAGTTCATATGTAGAAGAGTGCAGAATGCCCTTCAGCCGTATCCGAAACGTTAGTTACGTCTACTGCTTTTTTCTACAACGTTTTCAAGTTACAATTTCTGTTTTAGTTAATAAAAAAAACATAATATAAAATATAACTTATTCTGTAATTTTGATGTTTTTGAAGTTATACTTCTTTAGGCGCGTTATGAAAAAATGATGAGAGTGAAATTTTATGATGCGCGCGCATCACTGTAACACAAAATTTTAACAGCATAAAATAAAATTTTCATGCTGTTACTTTTGCGTTTACCGCACATTAAGAAAATCTACCAACAAAAGAGAAATAGAATCTCTATTTAGTGGGTGCTAACGACTGCATTGTGAAGGCCTATCAAAAGTATTTATTAATCTGGAACAACGGAACCAAAGCGCGATTCAGGAGACTACAGCGCCATCTCTTGACCATTGGTGTAGTAGAACCAAAAACCACATCTTTATTTTTTGTAATAAAGTAACAGAGGTATTCATATTTATAATATTTATCCACATGTTTCTAGTTTGTATATTTGGAATACGTGTTTGAGTTTCATACAAGTGCAAATCACATATGTTCTAATAAATTATATTCAGTAGCGATTTTAATTGAATATTTTGATTATTTATTTATTTTTTCAAATTAAAACTGAACTTTATTGACTGTGTCCTTTTCCAGACTTTTTATTAATTTATTGTAATTAATTATTTGCATGCAATTAAAAACTAATTTTAAACGATGCCAAAGAAGGATAACTTCTCACGCGCCTACATAAGTACACGCACCCATTTTTTTATTAATAGAGCCTTACCTGGTTTTACTAAATTGTTATTTGACTTACATACAATTCCATACTAGGAATTGCCAGACAAGTAATTCCTCCATGTAACTAGTTAAGTTTAGTTTGCTTTAGCTTACGTACAAGTAAAAATAATTCCTTCATCGAAACCAGTTACGAAACAACGATTTCGTAGACGGCGAAAGAGGTACAATGCTAATATTTTGATAACATATACGAGTATTATGTTGGAACATCGAAATAGTTCCGTGTATAGTACGCTTTAGTTATCCCCGTTTCCTTCTTCTTCCCTGATCGAACGGTGTACCACGATGGTTATATTGCGGCACGTGAGTCTTTCAATATTTCCCTAAAATATTTAATAGCTTCCTACCTAAATTATAGTGATTAAGTAATTCTTGTGACGATGGATTTGTAAACACTTTATGATGAAGTGCTAATACAAACGTGATAAGTGATTTGTCTTTTTATTCGCCGCCATCACACGTAGCATATTTAGACATGGCTAGGGTTACCATCCGTCCGGATTTGTCCGGACATGTCCGGACTTTGTCCAGCTTTTTATTTTGTCCGGCTTTTTTATTAGATGGAATATGAGTAAAGCTACTTATTAAGTTATATCAAATAAGTCAAATAATCTTTATTAAGTTCTCATTAATTAGAAACAAAATATAAATCATCTTTAAAAATCAACAACGAGACCCCCCTCGCTCACTCATCTCGTCATCACTGTAACTTAGTGGGTGATGTTTGCATTTTGTGACTATAATGTCCGGCTTTTTGTCAGGACTTTTCAAAATTTTAAATAGTAACCCTAGACACGGCTACATCTTGTAACTTATTAGCAAATTGTACTTCCCTTCGCTGCAAATACTCCTTACGTATTATGCATTAGAAACACGTTAAATTAATAAAATGAACATTATACATAACTACCCTAATGTTTGACATAATTTGACATAAAAAGTAAACGTGATTCTTTCACATTCAGCACTGCAGGACACTTTTAAAACGATAGCGAATATAAAGTTAGATTGAAACAGATGACAGTACTTGCAATCGGCGTTTATATGGAAAGTAGAACAGATTCCACGGATTTGTGGGTCTCGTATGCCCATGAAAACATTTTTATTGGAACTAAATAATTTAGGTGTGTGAAATTTATTGTTAATCTAATTAATGAAGGCTTGTGTTATGGGATACTACGGTAACGGATAGAATACATATACTGTACATATATAAGTATATTTACATAGAAATACATATTAAACATCCATGACTGGAGTACAAATGCTCGTATTCATCACACAAACATCTGCCCCCACCGGGATTCGAACCCGGGACCTCTCGAGTCGGCGAAACCATGAAACCCGGCGTTCAAACCACTCGGCCACGGAGGTCGTCTCATTTAATTTAACTGCCAGATGTTAAAATGTAAAGAAAATTTTGTGCTATATTGCGCTGCCTTGCAGCTTAAGATGTACAAGAGAAAATACGACGCGGACAATTAAGGTCGCTTTAGCATAATGATTGTACATCCACCCGGATAGCGGAGGGTGCGCGTTCGAGTCTCGTCTGCTGCCAGGCAGCGTGGAATTTCTTCTAGTAAAATAAATACTTCTTTATTTATTTATACGCTTTTAATATTTTGTTATTTTTTTAAATTTTAATGTATCTTATTAATAATATTCTGAATCCATACCTTGTGGAGTATCCTTGAGTTGGATAAAAAATATATTTTTTATATCTTATTTTCAATAACATATAAAAAGTAAATGTAGGGCCGTCAAAGTAGTAATTTTTAGACCATTCGGTGATAGACCCGTAGTATAACTCAGAATCGAAACTTGTTAACAATTTGAAATTTTTGTATATGATGTCTTTTGAAGAAAACCGAGCTTTTGTTTTAAACTTTCATGGTCACTAACATTATCTCTTATCTATTAGATAAGTCCGTCCTCCGTCCGTCTGTCTGTGGTGCTGTTTCAGCGGCCAAACCGTAAGAGATATATAAAGAGAATGTTTAAGTTATAAGTTAAGAATAGTCTGATAAGACTACAAACCAGATTTGAGTAACGTAGCACTTCCGGTTTTCGAGAAATCACGAATTTCAAACGAAACCACACAAAATCTCCGAAGTTCTCAATTAATTAAATACATTTTTTTTTAAATCAGGTTTTGGTGAACATTTGGTTCACTGGTTTGCTAGTAGTAATATAAATGATCATAGCGCTTGCAACAGTGCCGAAACATCGGAAACTTGCTAAAAACAAGATACATGGTAACAATCCCGTAAATTATAATTAATTATTTAAATACTAAGTTGATTAAATGTGTACAGACTAGAGTCGCTCGATAGGCTCTTCAGTCGTTTAAATGTGTATAGACCAGAGTCGCTCGATAGGCTCTTCAGCCGTTTAAATGTGTACCGACTATAGTCGCTCGATAGGCTCTTCAGCTGTTTAAATGTACAGACCAGAGTCGCTCGATAGGCTCTTCAGCCGTTTAAATGTGTACAGACCAGAATCGCTCGATAGGCTCTTCAGTCGTTTAAATGTGTACAGACCAGAGTCGCTCGATACGCTCTTCAGCCGTTTAAATGTATACAGACCAGAATCGCTCGATAGGCTCTTCAGCCGTTTAAATGTGCACAGACCAGAGTCGCTCGATAGGCTCTTCAGTCGTTTAAATGTGTACAGACCAGAGTCGCTCGATAGGCTCTTCAGCCGTTTAAATGTGTACAGACCAGAATCGCTCGATAGGCTCTTCAACCAATTAAATGTGTACAGACCAGAGTCGCTCGATAGGCTCTTCAGTCGTTTAAATGTGTACAGACCAGAATCGCTCGATAGGCTCTTCAACCAATTAAATGTGTACAGACCGGAGTCGCTCGATAAGCTCTTCAGCCGTTTAAATGTGTACAGACCAGAATCGCTCGATAGGCTCTTCAGCCGTTTAAATGTACAGACCAGAGTCGCTCGATAAGCTCTTCAGCCGTTTAAATGTGTACAGACCAGAATCGCTCGATAGGCTCTTCAGCCGTTTAAATGTACAGACCAGAGTCGCTCGATAGGCTCTTCAGTCGTTTAAATGTGTACAGACCAGAGTCGCTCGATAGGCTCTTCAGCCGTTTAAATGTGTACAGACCAGAATCGCTCGATAGGCTCTTCAACCAATGAAATGTGTACAGACCAGAGTCGCTCGATAGGCTCTTCAGTCGTTTAAATGTGTACAAACCAGAGTCGCTCGATAGGCTCTTCAGCCGTTTAAATGTGTACAGACCAGAATCGCTCGATAGGCTCTTCAACCAATTAAATGTGTACAGACCAGAGTCGCTCGGTAGGCTCTTCAGCCGTTTAAATGTGTACAGACCAGAATCGCTCGATAGGCTCTTCAACCAATTAAATGTGTACAGACCAGAGTCGCTCGATAGGCTCTTCAGCCGTTTAAATGTGTACAGACCAGAACCGCTCGATAGGCTCTTCAACCAATTAAATGTGTACAGACCAGAATCGCTCGATAGGCTCTTCAGCCGTTTAAATGTACAGACCAGAGTCGCTCGATAGGCTCTTCAGTCGTTTAAATGTGTACAGACCAGAGTCGCTCGATAAGCTCTTCAGCCGTTTAAATGTGTACAGACCAGAGTCGCTCGATAGGCTCTTCAGTCGTTTAAATGTGTACAGATCAGAGTCGCTCGATAGGCTCTTCAGCCGTTTAAATGTGTACAGACCAGAGTCGCCCGATAGGGTCTTCAATCGTTTAAATGTGTACAGACCAGGTTGCTCGATAGGCTCTTCAGTCGTTTAAATGTGCACAGACCAGAGTCGCTCGATAGGCACTTCAGCCGTTTAAATGTGTACAGACCAGAGTCGCTCGATAGGCTCTTCAGCCGTTTAAATGTGTACAGACCAGAATCGCTCGATAGGCTCTTCAGCCGTTTAAATGTACAGACCAGAGTCGCTCGATATGCTCTTCAGCCGTTTAAATGTGTACCGACCAGAATCGCTCGATAGGCTCTTCAGCCGTTTAAATGTACAGACCAGAGTCGCTCGATAGGCTCTTCAGTCGTTTAAATGTGTACAGACCAGAGTCGCTCGATAGGCTCTTCAGCCGTTTAAATGTGTACAGACCAGAATCGCTCGATAGGCTCTTCAACCAATGAAATGTGTACAGACCATAGTCGCTCGATAGGCTCTTCAGTCGTTTAAATGTGTACAAACCAGAGTCGCTCGATAGGCTCTTCAGCCGTTTAAATGTGTACAGACCAGAATCGCTCGATAGGCTCTTCAACCAATTAAATGTGTACAGACCAGAGTCGCTCGGTAGGCTCTTCAGCTGTTTAAATGTGTACAGACCAGAATCGCTCGATAGGCTCTTCAACCAATTAAATGTGTACAGACCAGAGTCGCTCGATAGGCTCTTCAGCCGTTTAAATGTGTACAGACCAGAATCGCTCGATAGGCTCTTCAACCAATTAAATGTGTACAGACCAGAATCGCTCGATAGGCTCTTCAGCCGTTTAAATGTACAGACCAGAGTCGCTCGATAGGCTCTTCAGTCGTTTAAATGTGTACAGACCAGAGTCGCTCGATAAGCTCTTCAGCCGTTTAAATGTGTACAGACCAGAGTCGCTCGATAGGCTCTTCAGTCGTTTAAATGTGTACAGATCAGAGTCGCTCGATAGGCTCTTCAGCCGTTTAAATGTGTACAGACCAGAGTCGCCCGATAGGGTCTTCAATCGTTTAAATGTGTACAGACCAGGTTGCTCGATAGGCTCTTCAGTCGTTTAAATGTGCACAGACCAGAGTCGCTCGATAGGCACTTCAGCCGTTTAAATGTGTACAGACCAGAGTCGCTCGATAGGCTCTTCAGCCGTTTAAATGTGTACAGACCAGAGTCGCTCGATTGACAAAAGAGTTATACCACAGAATGATTAATAGGTAGTTAGTTTTATTAGTTTTGGAAGTTACTTCCTATTGGAATTTGGCTTTTTGAAAGTATATGATATCAAAGCACTTCGGTATTCGTTGTTTATTTTCAGCACCTAACTGAGTGAATTGTTTTAAAGCTTATTACGTGAGCAATATAGATATAATTTGTGTGCATTTGTATCTCTTTCTACCACTCATACATACGTCGTTTGAAACGCATAATTATATCTCATTTTGTTTTGTTCGCGTCACTGGATTCCGATGAAACACTAAACTAAATGATATAGGTACTGATATGAATTGAATAAGATTGAGCTAGAATATGATTATACGTCATTAGAGCTAGATATAAATTGAGCTAGAAAGGGTGAGCTAGCTCTTTTAAACAACTAGCTCGTGAGCTACTCATCTCTACTATAAGCTTTTAGCAACAGGCAGGCCAAAAGTTTCTCTGCAATCCTTTTTACATAAAGAAAAGATTTACCATTGGCCTTTTCAGGAAAGTGTCCTGCAATATACAAATTTGGAACCACCCTCAACAAAATTCAATACGTCCATCTATTCTGCACCTGTCGGATTGGGAGATGTTATTTAAGTCAGCTTCTGGAAAAATCACCACAGAACGCTATAAATGCAAACTTGAAAAGGCCAAAACAACAGTACAATACCCGCCGGAGGTTCTTAATTGAAAAGTTGGCAACGCAATGGACTCTCGTCTTTGCAATTACACAGACATGTGTGGCGTCATTAAGCACATTCTATCGTCTATTGTACACCAATGCCAGCACTCTTAAAGTAAAGTTATTTTCTTTTTTTCTGTAAAAATAAAGTAGTAGGTAGAATCTTCGAGATACAACAAAAAGACTCGACGGTATGCGTCTTCAACCACCCGGCACCTGACCAGCTCCGCTTCAACTCGTGTGGTTGATATTCTTTGTACGGATTTCTATGGGGATGCGCACACTTCACCAACTCCGTACCGTCACTGAGAGATGCTTATGTAGTTAAGTCGGATCATATTATATTTGATGCTCGTAGGAGCGTACCGTATCTTTTATCCTTTCCTTCAGAGGACCACGCACGCTGGCCTACGTTGTCACCGTCTAACTGTGGCCACAATTCCAACGCGTACATAGAAATTTGGTGACTCATTTCTTTGTCGTACTATCCGTAAATGGAATGCTCTGCCCGCTCACGTGTTCCCTCCCTCTTATAAACTGGGATCCTTTAAAAGAGGCGTGAAGAAGCAACATGCAGGCCAGCAGGGTGAGGATGGCTGGTGTGGCAGGTAGAACTGCTGTATCAGCTATCTTCACGTCTGGACTTCACCTTCACTTAACATCAGGTGGGGTGGAATCATTTGTCGGACCTATCTATAAAAAAAAATCCTCCCTTTTTGTTTTAATTTAAGGTATTGAGACATTGAATATTTTATGTTGGCAATAAGCTTACGGTTCCAGTACCTTTTATAGAAGTTTTGTGATGATAGACGAGTGTAGATAAAAATCTACAAAACGATGTTAAATTTAGAAGTAATACCACATCAGAATACCTCAATTTCTGTATGTTCAACTCAATTCAAATTTAAGCTAGAGGACGCAAATTGATGAGTCGCATCGCCTTAAGAGCCCTTTCACATTTTTTGCAATAAATTGCAATTTTTGAGCGCCTCGTTTACTTCTTTAGCAAAGATTTTGACTATTTTCAATAGAAGTAAACAGTAGATTTATTCTTTCTATTGTAAGTTAATGTAGAATAATTGCAAATACTTTTTTTTTGTACTGATCGTTCTACTGCAGCTACTTTACGAAAAAAACGATAATATGCACAACTTCAAACGCCTCAATCTCTCAATAATGTTCAATAAATTAGATCAAATTAATTACTATGACTTTAGAAATATATTTTTATTGTAACATAATGTATTAGAATTTTGATTTTCCATCTCATTAATAATCAAAAAAAAACATCTAACCTCCGTGAGTTTTCCCAAAAAATATTGCAGGTTTACCTCGTATTTTGATATTGAATTAAATAGAATTACTACCAAAAACTTTCATAAATCTAATCTACCATCATTGAACTATTGAAATATGTATATATTTTTATAATTAGTTCATTAACAGTTATTTTATAAGACTCGGAACATCACCCGTAAAATGCAATTTATACTAGTGCTAATCTACCTACGCGCCGATCAGTACGGCAGCGGCGCAATTTTGTAAAAGGGTTCTTAACTGTTTTGTATGTGTTTATTTTCATCGTTGTCTAATTCATATTCATAGCGTCCGCGTCAGTCGTAGTCGTCGCTTTTGATGTTAACGAAAAAGCCGCCGACGCCGATCGTCATCCGTCGTCTAGACACTGGACATTTGACGGTTTTTAAGGCTTACACGTATTAAATGTAGCCTACAGTGCGACCAGCCTCCTTGCATGAGCACCGCGATTTGATATTTAACGCGTTTTTATCACGCTCAATTGCCAAATTACTACGGAGTTTGACAGTTAGACGCGATATAACACATGGGGTGTATTCCGCAATATATACCAGTATACTGGCCAGTGCTAATGACGTCATGAGTCGACGCTATACTGGTGAATTGTTCCGTAATATATTGGCCAGTGCACTGACGTCATAAATCGACGAAATATCAAAAATAGTGCGAATAGAAGATTTTTGATTCACCTCATCAATTAAAAGGTTTTTTTTGTTCGGATGCCATTATTGTTCTTTAAATAAAAAGGAAATAAAATTCGAATGCATCTCACGCACGCTCCGTAAAAATATGGTAGCATACCAGTACAATATGGCGTCGGATTCGTGTCATCATTACCACTGGCCAGTATACTGGTAGATATTACGGAACACACTCATGATATAATGTAAATAGTGGTGCTCATGCTACAGGGACAAGACCTTTCGTGGCGCGTAATTTTAGGAAGGTGTTTTTATTTATAAAGGAAAGTGAAAATAAATCTTTTACATTTTCTATTATTCTTTCCGAGTTGTTTTGAAATTATAACGATCATCCGTGTAGAGATTTCACGTACTTA